AGCCTGAGATTTTATTAAACTGTCATAGAACTCACCCATTCATAATTAGTACTTACTGAAATTTTTATTAAACATCATCACAGGTCTTCATCTGTTCTGGGCTTGGTTTTCTTCCTCACCATGAACACTTCTCTAGGCCTTGAGTGTTTTCAGCACGCCCTTGTCCTCCTTCTAAGCATGTAGCAAGCTCCCTCCACATGGGGCCAATCCTCCCTCAGTAGGAGGTGGCGGCACCTGTTACTCCAGCTGTTACAGCTGCTCTGGTCTTGATCCCAGCACATGCTGTGACTTCACACATTCTGAGCCCTGTTATCCACGATTGCACCTTGTGCATCCAAGTCAACTTGTGACCACTTTTGTTCACCAAATTCATGTTCACACCCTGTTCTGCCCACAACTATGCCCACTCATTAAATTTTTCTTGTTAGTACATATGTGCAGTACTTAGTGATTACATCCTTGTGGGGAGTTGGTACATGCACAGAACACATTTCAATTCTTTTTACTTCCCCTTCCTCTGCTTTTCCTCCCTCCTTCCATATCTACATCCTTTTCCATTTGCAGAAGATCTATTTCCCTGATTTCTATTACCCATCTTTTATTTTTCTTTAAATTATTTGTATTTTGGGTTTCTCATGAGACAAAACATGAACAATGCCACATTATCTATCCAAGATCTTCCTCACTTCAATCAAACTCCTTCAAAAGGAACACACCAAGGACTGTACCCTTGTGATTACCCCCTCTCTGAAAAATATGCTTGTTGATATTCCTTTTCAAAAAAGTCATTTATTTATTTATTTGGCACATGGTTTCACTAAGCAGCTCAGACTCAGTGATCCTCCTGTCTCAGCCTCCCCAGCACTGGGATTTTGGTGGCTGGTATGGTTCACCTGGGAGTTCTGGGGCTGGCGTGGTATATGGTACTGGGCATTGAACACAGATCTTTCTGCTTGCCAGGCAAGCGCTTAGACTACTGAGCTATCTCCCCAGCTTTGTTTGCTCTTTTCCTTGTCTTGTCTGGAATAGTTTTGTAGAACAGGCAGTATTCATGGTTTGAGGCAAGATTGGCCTTCCAGAAGTTCTGGTAGGTAGTTGGCCTTCACTGTACCCTTGTACAGCATGATAGCTAGAGTCCACATCATCATTCCCTTCTGGAAGAACTCCATGGACTGGTAGGCACTTGGTAAGACTTGAGGAGCACAAGGCAGGAGCTGGTGACCAGAGCAAGTCAGCTGAGCTAACAGCCTCAGGCCCCACAGGGGATTCCAGTAGCACAAGAGGGCCTGGTCCTTCACGTCTTGTTTGTCCGATTCCTCTGTCTGAGACCTGCTGGATGTGGGCCACAGGCCTTACTCTTTCTTGCCCCTTTTCTTTCCTGGTACTAATTTGTTGTTTCTCTGGAAGTATCAGAAGCCTCCTTCCTTTCAGTAGGAGAGACTCCAGCCTTTTCTTTCATTGAAGTTGGTAGTGTTTGCCAAATACCTGTCAATTGTGTGTGAGGTTTGTGGAACATTGCTTAGACATTTGGTAGGTGAACTTCTGGGATCCCATGAGAGGTGATTTTTGTGTCTGGAGGCTGGCTTTAGCATGTTGGGACTGGGCCATGGAGAAGCAGGCATGGGTTGAGGAGCAGGGGTAGCCATGGGTGACCTGAGTGTCTCTCTTTGTGATCCAGTATGAGCCCCTTCTCTGTCACACACATCTCTGTAGCACCTCTGCCTCTGGCTGACAGGTCAGGTTTATCCATGCTGACTTCGTAGTCTACTACAAAGGGCACAGAGACTGTGTTGCCACCTTGTAATTCTAATGTCTTCCTAACATGATGTAATTCTTCTTTCTTTCTTTCTTTCTTTCTTTCTTTCTTTCTTTCTTTCTTTCTTTCTTTCTTTCTTTCTTCTTCTTCTTCTTCTTCTTCTTCT